ATATATATATATATATATATATATATATATATATATATATATACCTCTATATATATAATTTTTATCAATAGTAACCAATATTACAGTGATAATACTTTTTAGTGAGTAAAATGTTGATTAAATGAAAATTTTTGTTAATGTACATTACAGCTGCATTAATATATATATATATGTATATATGCATAAAATGCATGTATTTTCACTTAGATTGAGCATAGTTATTTAGCTGTCCTATAAGTGCTTTTAAATTATCAGCTGTGCATAAATTAGGTTAATTTCAAAAACAATTTGTTGTTTCCATCAGTTTCATGGGACACTTGGCAGTTTAGTAAGCATGTTTAGAATTAAATCGCAACCTCTGAATAATATTGGTAAACATTACAAAACCGTGTTACTTTTCACTTTGCATTTCATATTAAACTACAAATGAGGATTATTTTAAAAGTTTTGACAGGTCCTTTACTTATCCCATCTCAAACAGGTTGGGAGTACAAAGTAAGAAACTTAATATCCACGTTTATGAAAAAAAAAAAAGTGGCGTGAAACATCTTGTATATTTCGGCCTTTGATGTACTTTTACTTCTTTCCAGACACGACTTCTTTCATAAAGCCTTTTCCCGCAAATGTGGCTGTCTGATAATGACATATAATTGGCTTATTTACGGCTCTGAAGGATTAGCCTTTTTGCTGTATCCACAGTGCTCTTGTTGGCTGTGCTGTTTTCATCATTTAATATTATTTTAATACAGTACATTGCAAAATAACATGACACATGAAACAAATCCCTGATGATTGAACAAAAAAAAAACAAAAAAAAAACATTTTCTTTCTTTAATAGAATTATTATTCTTATATGTCAACCAAGCTGAAACACAAACCTTCATTGTGTTATTCTTATGCAGTCAACAATAAACTGGTTTATTCCAGGGTGCATTTTTCTAGAAAAATCATCTAGAAAAGGGCTGAAAACAACAGAAGGATCTTAAAATACATCATCTGAGCAATCAACTCCTTAATCTCCAGCCTACATGTGACATAATTCGTCAAAAGCTTTCAACTAGACTCTTGGTGATAACTGTGGCAGCATTTTCTTTCATGTTGACCTTTTTTTTCTCTTCCTGCAAGACTGTCTGCCATTTCCAGTGCTTTTTGTCTTTCAGCCCAAGGTCAGTCTCCTACAGAATTCATTTCAAGTGGCAGCAGGCTCATCTGTCACTGTGTGTATTTACGTGTGAATTCATGTCGGGTTACGATTAGTGTGTCAAGCTTGCAGGTGTGTTAACTTGATCCACGTATGATATGAGTGTGCATAAGGTATATATGAGTTACATTACTGATGCAGAATCAAAAAGAAGAAAGTGTGTGTGCAGGAATGGAAGGCTCAACGAGCCTTCTCAACGTGACTACTGGTTTGCTGGAAGGACCAGACACAAAACCAAATGCATGTTTCACATGATAAGCTGCACCCATGCAAAAAGCAATGTTTAAACAAAACGGTATACACATACAGCAGGATAAAAAACATGCAAAAAAGAGGGAGAATAAAAAATCATGGATGTATAAAGTAATCCTAAAGGATTGTGAAAAAATAACCCTAGTTTATTTTTTAGTTCCAACTATTACGTTTCCTCACACTTCATATTAAACCCTTTCTGTTTTTTTAGTGAAGATGCCAGAGAAGTTGTACCCAGGACAGAGCCACCCTCAGAGATGCCTCTAATTGCTTAGAGAAGTGTTAATCAAGATGGTGAGTCCTAAAGGAAACAGTCAAATGACATGTATTGTGGATCTGTTTTGAAAAAGGCAGGTTTGTAGAAGGTTTGCAAATGGATCAGACAGAAAAAAAAAAAAAAAAAAAAGTGTTCTGAGTCGATGCAAGGACAACCCAGTTTTTGAAGAACGGCACTGAACGAACATGACTATTTACCTCCACCACCTCTGTTCATCCCTCCAGGTGCCACAGGTGGGTCACTACACCACAGTGTTCCTCTGCCTGTATGGAGGGGGTGGCAATACATTGCCAGCTTTCATAGCAGCCTCGGATAAATATTCCTGGTTTTCAGCTACAGCAGGGCGAATGCGTCCGTTCTGCCGGTAGAAGAAGCGCGTGCTGCAGTCCTGCAGGTACTCGGGGTTGTGCAATGAAGACTTCGGTGGGAGACTGTGCTGCCAGTACTCAGGATTGTCAAAAGTGATTTTCTTGCCTTTCTTATCAAACATCATTGTGTTGCTTGTGATGCCTGAATGCAGAGTGTGTCCCGAATGCCCCGGATGCAACGTGTGTGATGGATATGATGGGTGGGGCAGTAGGCCTGGATTTACCACGTATCCAGAAGAAGAAACAATGTGGCTTGTAGATGGGTTCACTGTTTGCAGGACTGATTGTGCAGCTGAGGGCGCAGAAGCAGAGATGGAAATTGCACCGGCTAATCCATTTTTGTCTCCGGGGTTAAGGAATGTATTCAGGTACAGCGGCTCATTGATATACTCATCGTCACCGTGGGACGTCTGGCTTTTGGGTGCTGCAGCAGCCCCAGCTAAGTGCAATGTGTGGCAACTTGATCCATCTATCACTACATGGGCATCACCATTCCTGCGACGTGTTGCAAAGGGATTTTCCTCAATAGGGCTGAGAAAATCTGTTAATATATAAACATATGTAAGCAGTGTTTAATATTTTTGAACACATATATACATAACTATCAAAATAAACAAACGTCTTTATAATAAAAAAGTTTAATGCAATTGTCAGTTTGGCTTTAATGTGTAGTGACTGCATTAAGATATTCAGTTGCGTTCAAAATTGTTTATTTTACCTGAAGTGTTCTTGTCCCTCTTGACAGTCATGCTGTTCCTGTCTCCCTTTTCACTCCGTTCAGCTAAGAGACCAGTAGGGTCTGCACTGTAACGCTGTCCACTAGTTTCTTCCATGCCACCTTAGGAAGAAAAAAAGGAGCAATATATAATATTTTAAATTTATTAGTATCACAGCTGCATCAGACAAAAACACAGGCCTTGAAAGACGTGTCCGTTGACTGCGAGTCATTCTGTTATATATATAAAAAATTGCACATTTTTTCAGTCAAGTGCCTTTTTTGTGTAATTTCTATGTCTTTTGTTGTGACTAAACTCACAGATATAACTCATGCAATGACACTCAATTTGCTATTGGATTGCCTTGTTTTAGTGTCGTAAACTGCACCAGATGTTTGATTTTTATTGCTGATCTTGTATTGTCAAATATTGCATAATGTGTGATAAAGGCAAGCACAGACACCTGAGAGGTGCACTGAACAAAATGCATTCTCATCATTCGAAGTGGCTGAACAGAGTCATGATGTTATAGTCCAGTTTAGTTACTATATGGAAACATTTAACAGTTCGGTATATCTTTGTTTCCAACATCGTCCAGTCAGGACATCTGGACAGTTTCTTGTTTTGTCAAGACGTTTTGTCCTTCATCCAAAGGACTTCATCAGTCCGAGGAGCCACAAACAAACTCAGTCCCAGAAGCAGCACGCTCCCACAGTGGACCAACCAGTTTGCTGGTGATAAGATGGTTTCTGGGGCCCACCCTAGCTCCCGTCGACGATGTTGGATTTTTTTTATTTTATTTTTTACCAGGATTATTGAGCATGAACTTTGATGTTTTGAACCACTTTGACTATGGGTGCCTCAGAGGAGTCGATGGGGGAGAGGGCGGGCCCCAGAAACCATCGTATCACCATCAAACTGGTTGGTCCACTGTGAGTGTAATGCTTGTAGGACTGAGTTTGTTTCTGCCTCCTCGGACTGATGAAGTCCTTTGGATGAAGGACGAAATGTCTTAGCAAAAAAAGAAACCAAACGTGACTGAACTTTGTTTGATTTTGTACCCAGGTTATTGAGCATGAACTTTGATGTGTAACTATGCTTATTTGTATTGTTCACAGCAAATGGCAATACATATTCACATATTTAACACCACTCGTTTGGTTCAGTTGAACTTCTGCTCTGGCGATCAGTCACTAAGCAATGTTTAAGTGAAATCCCTCTGCGTTGGCCTTCTTGTTCACCTGCACATATTGCATCATGTTACTGCAGTAACACAAAAGGAACTAAAGAAAATTAATTTTTGAGCAAATGTAGCTCATGAGGGGAGGACTTTTCAGTGGACTGCATGCTGCACACTTAATAAAATATTCTCCTTTATGTTTGTGTTGTGTCAGAGTCATGGCTAGTCAGTTGCAAGCTCAAAAGTCGAGTATTTCAAAAGTCTTGTAAATAAATCCAAAACATTTAGCTGTGTTACTGTCATGTTGGCTGCTTATGAGCTGGCTTTACCTTGTCCTGCAGTGAGAGCTGAAGCAGCTCCAAGCATGTTTGACCTTGGAGAGGTCTGCTTCCGCAGGGTTCCATTGCAGCGAGGGTCATCCTGGTTGCCACGGCTAAATCCAACATTGATCTGCCCCCCTGCAGCAAGTTCCTGTGGAGGGAGGCTGCTTCCACATGCTGGTGGAGCCACTCTAGGGAGAGTGGCCAGCATGTCCCCCATGCTGTAACTGGCATCTTGGCAGCCAAATTGGCTCTAGAAAGAAGTAGAGTAAGTAAAAAAAAAAGGGGGGATGGGGGGGTTGAAAAAAACAAAAACAATGCCAAAAAGTGTCAACTGGTTATTGAAATAGTAAGTTAAAATAAACTACATGAGAAACATGGAAAATAATGGCTGTTTTGAACATTTTATTAATTTTACTTTCTTCTCTTAATTTGCCAAAAAAAAATCTTCAAGAGAAGACGCATTAATAAATTCACACTATTGTTTGCTTTTGTTGTAAAATTACAAAATTTACAAATGATAGGAAAATAAATAAACTGTACTATGCCAAATATTTTAGCTAAACATTGATTTTTCTTATTTTTTTAATTGTCAAAATGTTTATGTTTAAATGACAGGCAGAGGAGACACAAAACAACATGGCAGCATGAGTACCATGGACAATTTAATTAAAATAATTTTAATAAAAAAGCTTAAATTAGTCATATCAGCTGTGCCCTGTTGTGCTCATTTGTATCAAGGCACCTTGTAAAAAAAATGATATATATATATATATATAATTTTTTATTTTTTTTATTTTATTTTTTTCTTCTTCTGAATCTCCTCTTCTGTCACTTTTATAAGTAAGGGGTAATATTTTATATAAGTGTCATTTTTCAAATTTGTATTTTCTTTCCATATTCCACTGTGTCCAAAAGATCATACCTGCAACCAGCATGTTGTTTTCTGCTGCATTTAGTTTTACAACAAACATAAATGGCACATGGAGACCCTTCAGGATATTTGGGCAAGTATAAATCTGAGTTTTGATCAGCACTTCTCCATAATTAGTCTCCTGGGTATTTATTATGCTTTTCAGAAAGTTACAGAGGCATCTTCAAAATCGAAGCCCTAAAAGCCAAAATATTTTTCTATTTTTGTACAAAGTATGATTTTCAGTAAATTATTTTTTTGTTTGTTCAATTATATTTACTTTTTGAAAAAAAAAAAAAGTTTTACACTTATGACAACAAACAATAACAGTATTTGTGTAGAAGAGTTTTTTTTTTGCCACTGTCTGTTATGCAAGTAGATATTTTATAGTTAATTATTTGTGTATACATTTTCATATTACAATACATACCGTTTTTATACTCTCAAACAGTTTATAGATGGATGTCAGAGTTTGATATTAAACAACTTAATGTGCTTCACGTCTAACTTTTCTTAAAATATTATCCAAGCAAAAATTCCTTTGCATACTGAAATGCACCACACAGAGTTAAATACATGTTTGTTTCATTTGGAATTGAGATATTTTCATTGTGAAATTAAAAGGGATACTAGAGTATAAAAATTATACATTTTTTGTGTAAACATTTCTCTGATTATACAGTCCAAAAGGGACACTGATCATTTCAGTGGTTACATTTAAAGACAGTACTCGAAGAACTAAAATCTTTATTTGAATCAGAATTTGATGAAAGAATGAATTTTATTGTTTTACTAGAGAAATCCAAATTGAAGCAAAAGTCTATAAACTCAACACAGTTTATCACGTGGTTGACCCTGACAAAATGTATAATGACTTTTGCTATAAATACGTAGAAAGTGTATAATTTCACTCTTCCAATTTCTTTTTCCTTTTAACAAGGTGCTTCAAGGTGTCTACACATTTTGATATTACCTTGTTGGAGTCAATGCGTGTGTGAGGAGCGTATGCCAGTGGTGGAATACTGAAGGAATGAGGAACCAGGTACTCCTCAGCATCCATCAGATCCTCCAGTTCCTCATCATCCAGGAGGCTCTGGAAGAACTTGCTGTCGTTCGGGCTGGGAAGCTTCATGCGATCGTCACCCTTATAAAATGCACTCATCAGTGTGTGGAGCACTTATGCAAAAACTCATCAGAACCATATTTTTAAACAATTATCGTATTATTCGGACTATAAGGCACATTTAAATTCTTTTAATTTTCTCAAAAATCAACAGTGAGTCCCTATAATCCGGTGCGCCTTATGTATTAATTGTGGTTGCGCTTACTGACCTCAAACAGATTTTATGTGGTACACGGTGCTCAAAAATGTGTCAAAATGTTTTAATTTTACTTAATGTGCCTTATAATCCGGTGCACCTTATGTATGAAAACAGATTTGTTCATTGATATTGCTCCTTATAATCTGGTGCGCCTTAAAGTCTGAAAAATACGGTAATGGAATTTGGTAATTGATAATACATTCTAGTAAAAACACTATTTATGCTAGTTGGAGACTTTAATAACAAATTTTGCTTGATATTTAAATTGCCATAACTCTACCAAATTATAATTTTGTGGGTATAACTTCCTGACATGCGAAACATAATAAAATAAAAACCACAACACAGACTAATGAGACAAAAACTGAGCAGAGCAGAAGACAGATTTATTTATTAAAATGATGGCTTATTCTTATTCTGTCAGTCTAGTTTATCTACCTGGATGACCAGATATCGCTGAGGATCACGAGCCATCCGAGTGAACTCTGCAGCCAGCTCCTTGAACCTGGGTCGACTGTCTGCATCAATCATCCAGCCTGAAAAAAATGGGTTTGTCTCAGTAACAGGTAGAGTTAAACAAAAAAAAAAAAAAACTAAAACTAAATTAAGAATCCATGACCTGTTACAAACAGTTTGATAACTTTTGTTGTGGCTCATGACTTTATATAGTTATAAAAATGTTTTATTCTCAGCATTAACTCACATTACACATAAAAGAAAATGCATATTTTTTACAAACAAGCATCAAAAGTAAATAGCTGTCAAACTTAGCTGTCAACGATTACTTCAATAATTATTTTATTGTTTTCTGTATAAACTTTGCTCGATATCATTCTTTCTGCATAACATACAGAACATGTGTGAAACTGTAGACTGTGGTGTTAATCTCAGTTACACTGGCGAGCAAAAGTCAAAACTTTGTTTTTAAATTGAAAAAAAAAATCCCTTAACACAATTCAAACATTTAGCTACAATTTAATTTATTTTTTTAATAAAGAACACAGTAAAACATAATAAAAATCTTGGCTGCAAGTTTTCCAGCAAAAGACTGATCAGTCTCATTTAAAAGTGTTTTGTTGCTCTTTCCACATCAAAGTAAAAAATTACAGACAAAATAATATAATTGTTTATTTTATTTGTCTAACTGCCAAGACTAGCAGGAACTAAGTATGCTCCGTTATTCTGAACAAAATTAGAAGCAATAGAGACTCAAATTGTCAGCTTGGTAGGCCAGTTTTAACACTACATCTAACTGTTCTTGTGCGTCAGACAACATTGCAACAAATGAATCTGGCCCACAGGCCTGATCTTGACATATATGATGACATACTGTAACATACCTTTGTTCATGGTATTTCTAGCACTACCTACAATTAGAATCTGGGCTGATGCACATGCAGTTCTCAAACTGCACAAGATGTTTTGTTGTGCATCTCAACTATTCAATGCATCAATATAATCACTTCTACAGATAATTAGATTTAAACCATATTGTATTACATATGCTTTATTATATAACACATTGCACTCTGACATTGAGCAACCACATATTTCCTAAATGACGTTTTTTAATTGTATTATTTCCCCCCCAAATAAACACAAATACATTTTCATCACTAATGGCCACATGGTGCAATGTGCTCTTCTGCCAGCTTCTTAGTAGAAACATGGAATAAGCATTAACATGATCGTGCACTTTGGCCTTGATTCGAAACTCTATACAGATACATAAGATGAGATGGACATAAAGATGTGTGGTTAAAGAAATATGTCCATTAGCCTTCACATGAAAAAATGTTGATGCAGCCCAAGTTAAGGTTGGTGTTAACCAAGTTCTGTATCAAGCTTCAAGGTTTTATTTGTCATTTATGTGTTGATGCAGGCACAATTTAGTCGTCAGGACCAGCAGTATTAACACCATTCCATAATAGTAAATAAATAAAAGTGCAAATGCATTGTTAGATTATCATCAATATGTGTGTAATTAAGTTTAGAAGCTTTATACATGAAGTAGTGTGGAAACGCGGCAGGTAACAGAGGGGTGACAGTGCCCACTATATGCTGATTGTATGTCTGCTTGCCAGATTGGCACCAGTTCAGGGTGACAGTAGAAGCCAAGGTGGCAGTGACAGCCAGAGGCTCCAGCTCTCAGAGCAGAGGACGAGGCCAGGGTGAAACTGGCACTAAGTCCGTGTCTCTGCAACAGCAACCAGCTGTTACAGTGCCATGCCATGTCATGATGACCGACCAGAACTTCCAAAGACCTGGTGCTAGTCAACCAGAAAAATAAAAACAGTCCGAACCATTTTCTGTTCTAAAAATCATTTTAAATGTTGTTTTTGTTTGTTTGTTAATCACAAACAATACATATATAAACAAATACCAAAATACTATATATTTTTTTTTTACTTCAACCATTCTAAACCTATTATTAGAGTATGTAATAAATGCAAGTGCATTTTGGGAGAAATCTCTGAGTGACCTTTAACTTTTGCAGATTTTACTGGAGTTTTGATGCCATTTCTCAATGCCATCAAGTGTGTGTGTCTGTGTGTGTGTGGTGGTGGGGTGGGGGTGGGGTGTATGTACCATCGATTAGCTCAGTTAGCATTAGCATCCATCAAAAATCACCACTTTTAACTAGAAGGCATCACACAGGTAAGGATACAATACATGGTAGGACCAACATATAACATAAAATAACACAAAACAGCACAGATATAAATAGACAAAAAAGGTTTGAAGGGAGACTCAGAGACTCGTATTTTGGAGCCACATGGCTAGTGACATTTTATGTAACCTTCCCAGCTTAATAGTAACATTATCTGACATGTTGCAGCAAGTACAATATTATTATTATTTTTTTTATATTTTATATTTTCACCATTCTGCTGTTGGTATTACTGCAGGAAAAAAATAAAAATGTTGGCTATATTGCTCTTCTTTAAATGTCTACTTACATTTGACCATGACCATGTAGACATCAATGGAGCAAATTGGTGGCTGAGGAAGACGCTCCCCTTTCTCTAGCAGATCTGGAATGTCTCTGGTCGGAATTCCATCATATGGTTTTCCTCCAAAGGTCATCAGCTCCCATATTGTTACGCCTTAAAGACATCAAAAGAAAACAAAAACTATATTTGTCAGCACAAAGGAGTTTAGTGTCCAGATTAGTTTTTCATAAAGGGAAGCACACATGCATACACACCAAAAAACAACAACAACAAAAAACAAAAAAGTAAAGGAATCACAGAGAGATGAAATATATATGAGTGTGACCTAATGGTATTAAACAGAAAGTTATGGGATGTTATAGCCTGATTTCAAAATTATGTAAATGGACAATGCACTTATTAATAACCTAAGTGAAAAAAAAAAGTTATAATGGATTTTAATAAACCAATTAGATCAAAGCAATGAACACAATATACATAAAAATATATATATTTCTTGGAATTATAAACATTGATCTGTCCCCCTTTTTAAAAGTGTTGTAAGCCTTTTCTGACATGTTTAGGAACTGATGCTGCACCTAAAACACTCCATTTATTGTTTCTGTATGGGATAGTAAAAGCTCAGAGAAGAACTGCGCATCATCCACAGATACGGAGCTTAAAACCTTGTAGAAATTGTCTGGTTGGTAAAGCAGTGACAAAATAAACTTTGTTTCAAATGGAATTATCTGTAAAAGGAATAAATACAATTATTTAAAAATAAGATTATGTTGATATTGAGGACTAACAGACACATTCTAAGCAATACATGAAGGACAATACAGCTAAGATACAATATATTGTTCTTTTTTTTTATTTTTAGCAGTGAATAATGCCACATGTAAAGATTAAAATGTATGATTGGACTCTGTGGAATTTCTAAAAAGTTCCAGACAAAACAAAAACAAACAAACAAACAACTGGACTTTATTTGTAGCAGAAGACATTCCACTTCTCATCCCAGGAGCTTTCTCAGTTCCTTCACTTCCTTCTGTGGAAGTCCTCTAACTTTAACAATCAACCCCCCCAAAAATGTTTATTTTGGCTATGAACCTGAGAAGGAGAAAAATAGTACTGTTGATTGAAAAAGGACTCTTAAGAAACTGAATCAAACATGATATCACCATTTTCTGCCTATTTCACAACAAAGATTTATAAATAAACAGTGGAAAAGGGGCGATTGAAAACACAAATTACAAGGGCTTCTGTGATATTAAGTTAGAAAACTATGGTTGTCAATATTTTAGGAGTTTATCTGCACTCCCTTTGCCTGTTGAAAGGAGTGGAAATAATTTAGGGGTATTTTTTTATTTTTTTATTTTTTCATTTAGCCTTTATTTATCCAGGTTAGTCTCATTGAGCCACGAGAACTCATTTTCAAGAGAGACCTGTTTTTTTTTTTTTGTTTGTTTTGTTTTTAGGGAGCACATGGTGGGGGTTAAGGGCCTTGCTCATGGGCCCAGAGTATACGTCCATGATCATAGATTTATGAAGAGAAAATGACCTCACCGTAACTCCAAACGTCACTCTGATGAGTAAACTTCCTGTAATGGATACACTCCAGGGCCATCCATTTGATGGGCATCTAGAGGATAGAAGTGCAGCATGTTATCAATGTATACATGTAATATTTGCCTGTAAAAATACTTAAAAATAACATCTTACTTCATTGCTAAAGAAAAACTAAAGACATTTAAGAACGCATGAGAATACAGAAAATGTTTTTGGATAAACTGATAGTATCAACTAAGTAGAAATCTAACGCATGAATGATTGAAATTAAACAATGTTAATGTAGAATAAAGGAAACAAATGCATACGCACACATATTCATCAAACAAACCAATAATCTCTCTACATAAGCAACCCCCCCCCCCCCACACACACACACACACACACACATAGAGCCCACAGATGTACTGAAACAAAGTCAAATGTTAAGAGATGTAGTCTAGGATGCAGCCCAACACAGTGATTAGATTTGAAAGCCAATTCAATTGAAAGCAGTGATATAAGTTCAATGTTTTTTTGTTTTTTTTGGGGGGGGGGGGTGTCTGTCAATCAAAGGTTAGTTTGCCTTTCTTTCATAGCTAAGGAGATAATTATGGTGGTCCTGAGGTGTAGATGAATAACATTTGAAAAAAAACAAAAAAACAGAATTACATCTGAAAAAAAAAACAGAAATACATTAGGCCAAACGGGAAGTGATGTTTTTTTTTTTTTTTTTTTTTTTTGTGTGTGTATTTTATTTTTTACTTTATTAACAAGATCAAACAGAACAACAGAATAATGTACAGTACACACAAAACACAAAACAGATGTACAGTTAGTAGGCTAGCCTTTAGCCTGCAGAAATGGAGAGCTATGTTTTGTTCAAACTTAAAGAAGAAGATATGACACTGGAAAAACTCTACAGGATCTTCAAGCTCATTAAGTTTTGTTGACATACGTTTTAGTTTTATAGTTTAGTTTTACAGTTTAGATTTACTGGAGTGGCATTAGTAATACCTTGCATGCTAACTGTAACCCTGTTGTGTGTGTACTGTATATTCTTCTGTTGTTCTGTTTTATCTTGTTAATAAAGTAATAAATAAATAAATAATAACCCCCCCCCCCCCCCCCACCACCACCACCAAAAAAAAAAAAAGGGTTTGGCTTAATGTATTTCTGTTTTTTCATATGTGATTCTGACCATTTCCGCTTTGGCCACTTCCGCTTTGGCTTAATGTAATTCCGTTTTTGTTTTTTTCCAAACGTAATTCCGTTTTTTCAAATGTTGTTGTGTTTTTGTTGAGTTTTTTGAAATGTAATTGTTTTATTTTTTATTTTTTAATGTTATTCATTTATACCTCAGGGCCACTGTAGATAATACCAAAGAGCTCATCACTGACATAAACCAAGATTCAAAAGAGAAAGTGAGAGAGGATGAAACGCTCTGTTCTGCGAAAGGAGGATTTCAAAACAAATTACAAGTCAGGGAATGTATAAACAAAGCTTACAAGAGGTCAGAGACCCATGTGCAGAAAGCACCAAGGACAGATTTGTTTACTTTGTTAACAGGGTTTTGAGCCGTCTGCTCCCTAAAGGTAAATAAAACGGTTCAGTAGAGCAGAATAATATTTCACTCAACTAAAACTGTCCTTTATAATTGGTAATGTTCCACCCTAAGGATATGAAGGCCTCATTATTGGTGATGCCTATTGTTTTATTTTACAACACGTCAATGCCACAGTGTGAAAGAATAATCTTGAAATATTGCTATTCCATAACCAAACGCATCAAACAGCAACAAATGCTAGATTATAACATGTTTTTTGAATACAGAACAGCACTGTGTTTCCTTAAAGAAGAAGAAAAAGCATTTTTGGGAGCAAAGATTTGTTGAGCAGCAGTTTAAACATTTGCATTTTGGAGGAAAAAGGAAGGGGAAAACCCATAATAGCTACATTAAGCAAAGCCTTTTGTCAAGAGAAATTAATTAAGCAAGAACTCTCAAGCTCGTTGCATAAGCACCAGATGACTAAACACTCAGTCATCTGAGAGAATCACATTTTAGAAAGTAATATTAGATAAGATTCACCTTTCCTCCGTCGGCTTGATATTCTTTCTCGTTGACGTCCAGGAGCCGAGCCAGGCCGAAGTCAGTGATCTTGATGTGATTTGGAGATTTGACTAAAACGTTTCGAGCTGCCAAATCTCTGTGGACAAGCCTGCGCTCCTCCAGGTACATCATTCCCTGGAAAACAAAAATGCATATATGCATACATGTTAGTTCACATACAAAAATACTAATATTCTATAGTTTTTTTATGGAATATATACATGGTATCAACAGTCTTCAGTGTGTTTTATTATACAGTAACCGCCAGAGTAACCTCTTGTAGGTCTGACTCCCTCTGAACTTCACTATCTGCTTTTATTGTCTTCAGTCATCTAATCAATATTAGCTTTCTGATAAAACTTTGTTGGGCATCATTCCTTCTACAGTTTTTTTTTTTTTTTTTATCACACTAATTTATATCAATCCATCCATCCACCCATCCATCCACTAAAATAAAACGTATCATAATTGTCTATGGTGGCGCAATTGGTAGAGCTGCCGCCCCTCAGCGAGATGGTTGCCAGTTCAAATCCCGGCCCAGGACCATTCTGGGTGGAGTTTGCATGTTCTCTCTATGCATACATGGGTTTTCTGCGGGTGCTCCGGTTTTCTCCCACAGACCAAAAACATGCATGTTAGGCTGACTGGTAACTCTAAATTGTCCCTAGGTGTGAGTGAGAGAGTGAATGGTTGTTTGTCTCCATGTGACCCTGTGATGGACTGGCGACTCATCCAGGGTGTCCCCCGCCTCTTGCACTGTGATTGCTGGACATGGACACCAGCGGCCCCCATAACCCAAAAAGGAAGAAGTGGGTAAAAGATAATGGGCGGATGGATGTATGATTGCCTACAACGTGCTGATGCAATAACAGCTTTATGAATGAGTATTAACAGACCTTATAAGTAAAGTAAAGTAAAGTGATATGTGTTGTCATCACTGTTTGTTTCCATACAATGGCGAAATTAGGTCTGTGCATTTAACCCATCGCACCTGGGATGCACCCAGGTGGAGCAGTGGGCAGCTATGTAAGTGCCTGGGGATTGCGGTAAACGTACAAATAAAATAAAATAAATGTAAAAAGAAAAAAAAAAAATCACCCAAATTTATTTTCAATTACAAAATAATGCTGCCATGTTTTCATTATAAGAGATACTTTTCATTTTCGATTGGTGTTGTTCTTGTTTTTATCAAACAAACAAACATTGATCTTTAGACTATAACTACCATGTTTTTATTTAAAATTAACCAAGTTTGCAAAATATAAAGTAAAACTGCATGACTTAAACATTGTGTCTCTAAACGAAGGTGTTGAGTCTTATTTCACCATCACATCTCCTGCATCCCTGCACTTTCTGGGGAGTCGAAAAGAGTCAAGTTTTCTTCTTGTGTCAAATATTCCCACAATTAGTGTCTCAAACCATAATTCCTAAAAGCTGTCCGCAAATATCAGTGAATATAATTGAATGGAGCAGTTAAAATAGTAAGAGCATGATATTAAAAGGACATAAATCAGCACCATGAAGCTACAACTATCAACCCCATCACCATTGTATCCACACTCACACATCTTAACAGATAGTGTCTATTTGCATCACTACCAAAGGAGATAGAGCATGGTGGGTCTTTTAAGTTTGACACAAAAAGCCAATAATGTCCTCAAGCTACAAAAAGAACATCTATGTACAGTTATTTAAAAGCTTTTCAGTTTCTGGAGTACATCCTGTGCCGGGCATTTAAAGTCTTTGCTGCTAGTTGTACACCACTGCAAGAGTGGACCTGAGGAAAATGAAAGACGAGGGGATGAGGGGAGGGGTGGGGACTGTTTCAAATTGGACAAGTAATAACAGAAGCCACTTTGTTTGAAGTGGCAAAAAGACAGGAAAAAAAAAAAACAGGCCTTATTTGGAACCATAACAAATTGCATTTAGTGAGAATGTGCTGAAATGGAATGAGGAGTGGATGGAGGGGTAGACAGGAGCAGAGTAGTTGAAGGTGGGGTTGAGCTTCGGCACTCTAAAACGTGAAATTACATCGGTGTGGCTTTAATCACACTGCTTCATTTGGCTCCGTCTCAGGGAGGACCATGTGGTTTCAGCTCACACCTGCACATTTGCATCCAAACTCAGACTCACCTGCAGACGTTCTTGTCACAGACAGATGCACCATGGGTCGCAAGTGTCTGGTGATTTTTAACTAGATTAATGTGATACATGACTGTGGCTAATAAAGCATGCAGAACTTTCAAACCACAATGCGTCTGTGTTGATTTGCACTTATTGTGGTCATAAATATAAAACATGTTTTAGCATCATGATTTTACAACTTGGTAAAACTAATCCCAGTGTTGCTGATGTATAAAATATGTATTGATAATATTAAATATACTGTAGTGTGGTCAGAGCAAACTAAAGTGTTGCAATTTTTGCGTAGCTTATCCAAGTGCTTTGTCCACCTGCTAAAAGAATCCCCCAAAGTGCAGCAGTACAGGTAACTCTGAAATGGATCAAGTAAATAGATTAATGTATTTTATGCCAGCCACTGGCTTTTAAATCATGCACTCCAGGACTGTTTGCATGTCTTAGTATATGCTGCCAAATTTCTGACAGATTATTATTTATACATAAATCGCACCCAGTAATCCCTTCAATTTTCAAGACAATTAAGCAATGGAGGGAGGATGGATGGCTTGGCAACCCGTGAATTTTAATTTACCAGCACAATAAGACAGAGAGGGGGAGGTGATGGTGTGTGGAGACTGGGAAGTGGCTGCATACGTGCGTGAGAAACTAACTTTTTTTTTCCCCCTCCCACTTTTCTACTCGATTGCTTTTATTTGCTGCCTTCCCATGTGGACATGATGAGAACAACTCACTGCCCGGGGTTTGTAATTGAGGTAAAACTGGATCTGACACCCAGACTGATGCTAGAAGAGAACCATATGTCGCAGGTGAGTCTACCACCAAAAAGAATCCATAGGCTTCAGACAGACTCTGTTATGATTGCACTTCCAGACAAGTGCTGCCTACCAATCTCTAGGGATCTTTCCTGTCCTAAACCTTGCATGCTGCAATTTTATAAGGGTAAGCAAACAAAGGGAGAAAAAGAAACCACTAAAAAAGAAGGAGGCATAAATGTGAAGCTTTTAAATAAGCAGAAGTAGAATACATGAATACATTTTAAAAGTACCGTATTTTTCGGATTATAAGACGCACTTAAAATCCTTTAATTTTCTCAAAAATCAACAGTGAGCCTTACAATCCGGTGCGCCTTATGCATTAATTTTGGTTGTGCTTACTGACCTCAAACCAATTTTATGTAGTTATTGTGAATGAGTTGAATAAAGTTTGACTTATCTGACTGTTTTGTTTCACTTAATGCACCTTATACCTTATACAACGTTCTAGAATTGCGCCGCTCAGGGTGGCTGCATGTTGGAGTAGCTCTGTTGCATTCATTCTGATTTATTGCTTTTGAAAATTTTAATTCCTCTTTTTTCTGGTTGTACATTGCTTTTTAAGGATGATTCTTTCCTCTGGTGTCAGATGCTGCGCAGCTGGAAGGATTTTTACTGAAACTTTTTTACTTTTGGGCATTTGCTATGATGCGTAACCATGGCAACAAGGTGCTTTTTAACAACCAGGAGCAGCTGATTAACATCTCAAAAGCTCAAATACCTCAACTACAGCCCCATATCCCAAATGAGTTGAAAAGGAGGTGCAGTGGACGAATTCCCATCAACCTGACGCCGGTGCTCGTGTACCTGACCGCTGTGCTTAGCATATTTTTAGTTGACATTTGTCTTAGTTCATATTTTAGATCTTATTGTTTTCTTTTACATTTCATTGTTGGATGTAACTGGGACATTGTGTACACAATTTCATTCCACCACATGTTGTGTGAACGACAAAGAGACTTTGACTCTGACTGATAATCCGGTGCTCCATTTTGTATGAAAACAGACCCGTTCATTGATATTGCGCCTTCTAATCTGGTGCGCTTTATAGTCTGGAAAATATGGTATATATCACTGACACCAGTAAATCAAACTTTAGTTTATTGCATACTGAAAGAAATCAAATTTTGCCACATATCTTTATTGTATATGCACATTTTTTTCAACCATATTTTAAAAATGACCAACAGCATTCTGGATAATCCTATTCTAATAAATTTCTGACATTTGCATGTCCATACATAAAAAAAAAAAAGGAAGATAGACACAAGTGACGCCCCTATTACACACTGGTGAGCCTCCCTCTACACAGTTTTTTTTTACGCTCCCCCAGAAAATACTCTGACCTCCCACCACTGTTATTTACGGTTACTCCACAGAGCTACAGGGCCAATTCTGTCCCAAATGGACAGAATTGACCTCCAATGTGTTTGGTGAAGACAAATTTGGCAGCATGGTTGCAGAAGACTGGAGATAAAATCAATAAGGATGAGTGTGAGGAGAAGTGGTGGCCATTTTTCACTGATGTGAATTTCTCACGGTCGTTTACGATCACAAGACAGATGCCAGCTCAGATGCTCACATGGCAAACTGTCAGCACACTGCTTGCACACACACACAAATCTATGATCAACTAAAATATTTTGAATAATGATAATCACAAGGAAACTATGTGAATGGGACTGGAAATCCAGCAGATTTTTAGTAACCCTTTCATGAAGTCTCTTTTCTGCCTACCGTATTTTTCGGACTATAAGGTACACTGGATTATAAGGCGCATTAAGCAAAATAAGTTAATTTTGACAGATTTTTGAGCGCCGTGTACCACATAAAATCATTTCGAGGTCAGTAAGCACAACCAGAATTTATACATAAGGCGTACCAGATTATAAGGCTCACTGTCAATTTTTGAGAAAATGCAAGGATTTTAAGTGCGCCTTATAATCCGAAAAATACGGTACTCATCTTGTTGGAATGATGAAAGCATTGTTGATAATAGCTAAGTCTTCAAGTATTATTGGAAGCCATACATTGTAAATTACCAGATGATTTACTAGTCTTTGTAAAGGTTTATCGAAGTTTTTCATCAGGCATTAAAAAATAATAATAATAATCTACCCCCACTATGTTTTCATGCCAGTGCTGAGCACCTTCAAATGAATATGTTTGCATTTTGTAAAG